ACTATCTTTGTAATTATATAGTAATTAATTTTTTATGTTTTTTTGTAATTAAAATATTAATACATAATTATATTGTCACTAATTATTTTTATTTTTTATTTTCAGATATTTCCTGAGTAGCAGTTTGCTTCTTGTGGAAGCAGCCGTGTGAAGATTGCGACGGACTTTTGTTTATTAAGAAAACTTTTATTTTTTATTTACATTATTTAGATTTGTGAACAACATTATGTATGGATTATGCAAAATTATGTGGTTGGATAATTTTGATGATGTGTTGTTATGAATGGAAGAGTACTTTAATTAAGGATGAAATTTTATTTATATACAGGAATTTTTATATTATTATATAGTTATCGATTTTTTTTAGTTATTTTTATTTAATACAGGTAATTTGCATATTTTTAATAATTTTAAAACTGCATTTTTTGTTAGAAACAGGTTTTTGCGACGGTAGCATAGCCGTCGCCAATGATATTGGCAATATGAACAAAAGGCCTTTAGCGACGGTACTTTCACCGTCGCAAATAATATTTTAAGAGACGGCTCACTTTTCTGTCGCAAATAATAGTATTAACGACGGTAATAAACCCGTCGCAAATAACCATTTTAGCCGACGGTATTTTAGTGCCGTCTCAAAAACTTCAGATTTTTACACATTAATTGCGACAGTATTTTGCCGTCGCTAAAGCATTCAAACACTGCACTCGAACATTGCACTCAAATACTGCTTTCAAACACTGCATTCAAACACTGCACTCGAACATTGCACTCAAATACTGCTTTCAAACACTGCATTCAAACAATACACTCAAACACTGCATTCAATATTGCACTCAAACACCGCATTTGATATACACCACGACTGATGTATTTGACAAACTGCCCTTTTCAAATCCCAAGCACATTGAACGTTCCAGCGGGAGCTGCAACAGGACCATCAGCACCTTCTCCGGCAGTAGTGAGAGAGAGACGGGAGGCTCCGGCTCTCAACCGAGGCAGAGCTAGGGGCACCCATGAAGAGAGTGGCCCTTCAGAGCCCGTTATGGACGATGATGATGACAAAATGAGTGAGGATGAGGAGGCAATGAGTCCACAGTCAGAGTCATCTGAGGACCGAGAGGGCGATGCTGGCTCAGATTCTGAGGGCAGAGATGATGCTAAGGCTAGTTCAGTAGCTAGCTCAGACTCGGGGGCCTTCGATATTGGCGCCGTTGGTGATAGCTCTGAGTCCATGCCCAGAAACAGGACGAAGAGGGCCTCTCGATCCCGAAGTGGATGGCACCGATTTAGATGTTCTTTGCTGAGTCTTTTTTTGCTTTTTTTTTTTCTTTTTCTGCCTTTTTTTTTAGTAGTGTTAGCACATTGTACATTTTCCAAGCAGTTCCTATTTTCTTAAAAACTTGTACTCTTTAGTAAAAAGAAACCATGATTGGAATGAAAAATCAACTTTTTTGATGAAACGTGTTGTGTTTTACATTCTGAGCATCGCATTGCACCATTTTACACAAAAACGGGATTGATGGAAATTGAATATTGTACATTGTATTGGCAACTTCTTAATCAAGTAATGAACAGACCAACACATAACAAACAGAGTAAAACAACTCAATGAACAACTAATGTAACAACTCGATAAGAAAAACAACATCAATACAACTCGATAAACAATCAACAACAACAAAAAAACTCGATAAAGAAAGGGGAAACAACATAAAAGCGACTTAACAAAACTCTTAAAACAAGGCGGCAAAATGCACCAAGAGTAGAACAAAACACAGGTTCTCAGCACTCCCAATGCAGAGGAAGGCCATAGGAATTATGTCGACTATAGGCAGGCTCTGGGAGGGGACACAAGAACATCTGACTCATCGATGCCCCAAGTTTATTGCTTTGATCTAACTTTCAAGTTTTCCTTTTGAATGTTATAAAAAGCAACTTTGATTTGTATCAAGAAGTAGAGAACTTTGCATTGAAATCAACGAAATTGAAGGTTGTGGGCAATAAAACCTTCCCATGATAATCATTAAGTAACAATATATCTTTAAGTAAAATTTCCTTTCATTCATCTGATCTAATGTTTACAAAAGGTAACACATGCACTGATATATTCATAAGCTCCAACTTTACTTGGTACATCAAAATTTTTCCAAGTCTGTACTTGGTACATTAAAATGGATTTAAAATCCAATGCAGCTAAAGCCCTTGTCTTATACAAGATTAAATACAATAATACACAAAAGAAGCCATCAGCTCCAAATCCACCCAAGCTATTGCCTTGACGGAGACATATCATCAACACTTGAAAATGGTTTTTTCATATAGGGTGAGCCAAAACCCAACAGAAATAATCTAACACAACATATAAATTTTAACAAAGATATAAAGTTTTATGCATATGCAATGCCAGTGCCAAAATATTTTATATCCATTTTCAAAAGCCATGCTATGCCAGGTTTATATCACAATTCTCAAAATCATGTCCTTTACAATAGAAAATAGAGGGAAAGCTCAAACCAGTACAACCTTTTACGGATATTTCATTCACAAAAAACTGTCAAACAACACCCATATAAACGTAGTCTATACAAGCACTACTATTGCCATATACATTTTACAGATATTTCATTTGTGGGAGCCGACACCCATGTATACGCACGTTTTTCGAGACTTTCACCCTAGACACACAGATCAACTTGATTTGGTGATACGCACATCTTTTCAACGTTCACCCCTCTTTCTCAAAATCATATACATTTTCAATATATTAAATAAGAAACAATGTTCAATGCACATGGATGAAAAATTTGTTTTAGTTCACTTAATTCTCATACAATTTCTACAACACTTATAGCTATCCTTCACCGATAGCTCAAAACATATATCTCTAAACAGATAAATAAATTTCATGAAAGATATACTTTTTTAAAATCTCAAATGGGAGTGATAATACATATCTAACTCTGCCATCATCATCAACATTATTTTAATTTCATAATTCTCAACATCAATTCCATTTTCTCTTTACAATCTCAAATATTCACATTCTAGGGCAAAATCCCTTTCTCTTTGAAAATCAATTTCAATGTAGGAAATACCTCATTTTAACATATATCAACCCCAATTTCACACCCACAAGCTTTTCCAAGAAACCATTTGAAAACCCCTATTTTTCATTTTGATTTCAAACCCTAGGTTTTACCAAAAACCCACATACTACTATAATCCCTTGAAATAGCAAATAGCTAAGGTACAACTCATACAAGAGTGTAAAAAATCCCTATCTCGAAGCTAGAAGACTAAGGAGAGAGTGGAGAAACCTCAAAGAAGCCAAATCCACTTTTGTTCGGATGAAAAGAGAGCCCGCGGAGTGTTCTACATTTTTAACAGAGGGAGTGAGGTGAAGAAATTACTAGATCTTGGTGTTTTTGTAGAGAGAATGTAAATTTTAGAGAGAGAGAGAGTACCTAGATCTAGGGTTTTAGAGTGTTTAGAGAGAGAGTGAAATGAAAAAGTGGCCCAAAAAGGTAGTTCTGCGATATGATATATGCATAGACCGCTCGAGCGTAAGAAGTGACGCTCGAGCGTCCTGACACAAAAATAATTACCGCTCGAGCGCAGGAAGTGACACTTGAGTGTCAAGACACAAGGAAAAAAGGCGTCACTGCTCGAGTGCAAGAAGTGACGCTCAAGCGGAAAATACAATCTCTCAGAAGTTTTGCAGACCTACCAAAATACTGGGAGTTGTCAAAGACTGCTTGAGCACAAGAATTTGCGTTCGAACGTAGAAACCAAATTCTGGGCAACAAGGATTTTTTGAAAAATATGGTACCAACCTATTTCAAACACAGCCAACACATACCAAAAGCTAAACTCAAGAGGAATAAGAAAAACAAGACATGAATAATAAAAGACAACAAAATCCAGATCCAAAACATACAATGGGTAGGGTTTAAGCCAGAAAATGCTATAACTTCTATCATATTGAGATTTCAATATGAGAAAACTTGAGAGGCCTATAGGGCTTATTACGAGTCTCATGTCAATGATCTGAACCATTCATTTTATAAGATCCTCAATGTATATCATCCATGAATAAACTTAAGTTAATTCGATAATCATAATCTTTTTCATTCTATTACATTTGTCTCTAAAAAAATTGATGGTCTATTTTAAAAATATATTTGTTGCCTATTTTTTTGAAAACAAATGTGATAAAATGAAAAGGTTACGATTATTGAATCAAACTAATTTTTTTCATAAATAATACATTGAGTACTCTACAAAATGAACGAGACCTGTGATGAACCCTATAGTTCCACAATCCTACTTAAATATATAGCTTTCTTCTAAATACATCCACAAAATGCATGATCATTATATACAACAAACCCAAAACTATGTGCATAAAATTTGACTAACTGGGTTTAACCTACTCATACTTCTCACCCACATGCTCCTAAATTGCATTAAATTAAAATGAACAAAACTCCCTCAAAACAGTAATGTACAATTTGGCACCTAAGTGATACGTTAACAGCATGAATTAAAGGGTAAGAGTACATTGTTTCAGCTCAGATAGTGTTAGTACCAAACTACCAACAGCGGCTTCATAGCTAAATAAATTAGCCAGTGAATTCGGTAGCAAAACTTGTCATATTACATAAAACATATATGCATAAAACTACCTATCCAATCACTCTGTTTGGATGGGGTGATTATGGTGAGAAATGACAAGATAAATTAGATAAGAAATTGTGAGAAAGACAACTCTCCTATTTTGTGTATTTCATTTCGTACCAAACGTGGTGAGTTTTGGTGAGAAACAAGTTAATTGGGGGGAACAAATTGCATAGCAGTGTATATTTTTAAAAATAATTTCAAATCAGTGGTAAACTTTTTCATGAATTTGTAAATATTTTGTGGACTTACCAGTAATTTGCAATCCAAACTGAGTGTCAGTGTGGATTGCAAAAAACAAAGATTCGAACTTTGATACATACCTGCATACAGGTCATGTCCATGACGCGCCACCGCATATCGGGACGTGAACGCACGTTCCGACGCAACATATCAGAGATTGCAACTTTGGAAAAATCAATATTGGTAATGCATCTAAAGCCGGCGTCGTAGAGGTATTCGGAGAGCTTCGAATTGCCGCAACCGGGGACAAGAATCTGCACGGAAGCTGATGATCCGGCGGCGTCGGGAGGTGGCGTTTGAGTGTTGGAGTTGGGGCAGAGGTGGGAGAAGAGTGGGGCTCGGAGCTGTGGCCAATCGGCGTACCACTCGAAGGAGTCATCACTGCCTCGGATGGTGAAGAACTTGTCCCAGTTCTCCTTGCTTGTGAAGTCTCCTAGGGTTTTCAGGAGCTCTTCTTGTTTGTCTCTCTTCCCCATTCTCTCTCTCTCTCTCTCTCTCTCTCTCTACTGGTTTTGTGTCTAGGCCCTAGGGTTAAGGGATTTAAGAAGAAATAAAGCAAAATGAGTATGGATCCTCGAGTGATTTTTCAAGAGATGGCTTCTTTGCTGTCCATGATCAATCGGACTGGAGAGTCGCTAGTTGGTTCAATGGGTTTAATTTTGGACGTTGTCTTGTGACACTTCGGGTCCGGGCTGTACTCCGAACGGCACTTAGCCATGGTTGAGATGGGTGAGGCGCTCTATTGGTGCTTCGGTCTCTGTTTTAAGTGTCGAGTCAAATCACGCAGATTCAAATCACTCGATTTGGATCTCCGGATGAACCTTCTTTTTTTTTTTTTTCTCAATGAAAAAAAATAAATAAATAAATATTTAATATTTATTGAATATATTATATTGATAAAAAATTAAATTGATTGAATAATAGAAATCATGTGTTAAGATTAATTTTTTATAATAAATAAAAAATAAACAAACGATGAGAAAATAAATTACTCATGCAAAATTGATCTGAACGTATGGTTGTCGTTATTCAATCGATTTGTTTTTTTATAAGCATAATGTAATTGATGAATATTAAAATATAAATAATTTAAATTATCAAAACGAGACCACAATTGGGCCCATTAGGCCTAACAACATCTCTCTAATTCAATTGTGGACTACAAAGAAGCCTAGCTCTTTTTCAAAGGGCACAACTCCTTTCGTTTACTCAAATTTGTACACATTTTAATGATTCAAGTTGTTTAATGTGTAGAGTTTTTTGAGTATATTATTTTTGTAAAAAAATCACGTTAATTATATATCAATAGCCACTTAATTATATTATATTTGTGTTTATAAATTATTTTTAAAATCATAATTGTTGTTAAAACAAATGCAAGCTGATCAAATGACTATTAATATCCGATCAATGTAATTTTTTGTAAGAAAGATGTACTCGAGAACTCCACTCATTCAACATTTTGGATCATCGATATGAATTCAGAGTTGGGCCTATCGTAACCCAACATTACCGTCCAGTTCGATTTTAGACTAGAGAGAAACTCTAGCCTTTTTCAAATAGCGATCATAGAGTGATAAGTGATTTTTTTTGTGCAGTTGAGATTTTATTAAGGCAAATCACATTTTAGCTCACTAAACTATTGTCTCATATCAATCTATTCCTTTAAACTAAAATTGTAACACCTAACTCTCCTCATCTATTAATTTTTTTAATTTAGACCTTAATTGCGAAAATACCTTTTTAACTATACCAGTAAATTACACTTCAACACTTCAACTATCACTCAATATCACTCTATTCCTCAACTAAAAAAAAAAAATGTTTGATTTTTAATTTAAAATACAATTTTTAAGTTTTTTTTAATAAAAAAAATCATATTTTAATCAAAATTTAATTTTTTAGATACACCTAAAATTTAAATATTCATGTAGAATGTTTTTTAAAAAAATATCTAAACACTACTAGAAAATTGGTTTTTTGCGTCTATTTTTTTGCGACGGTCTATTTAACCGTAGCAAAAAATATACAATTTTCTAAATCTAGTTTATGCATGTGCTTTATTTCACTTATTTTCTTTTATTTATATTTGCCCTAGTCAGCCTTGCTCAAACTCTCGACATTGCTCTCTTTCTCTCGCTTGCCCAAACACAGGTATGAATCACTCTTCCTCTCTTGATCTCTCAATATCTCTCGATCTCTCAATTCCTTTCTCTCTCTCTCTCGATCTCTATCGTCTCTCTCTGTGTATATATATTTGCTAGGGTTTAGATCGATACATTCATCTGCCCTTCACGATTTCTATTCTTCAATTTATGTTCTTTGCGATTTCTTCTTATGATCGATGCCTACAATATCATTTGGAATTCTGTTCATCGCGATTTCTTCATAGGTACGTGATTTCTGTTTTTCACTATTTCATTTCATGTAGTTTCAATTTCCAGCAAATAATCACTTTGTTCGCACTCTCTTCTTCTCTTCGATCATTATATTTCCTCTTTCTATCTACTTCTTATATTTCAATTGTTGTTCATTGAGGCCATAATTATATTTCAATTCTTGATAATTTTTATTGTGATTTCTGAGAATCAATACTTTTTTCAACATATGCAAAAATTGCTACATATATAGGTCAATGGTGATATATATAGAATTGTGGACCTTTGATTAGTTTCATTGATATACCTATAGTTGTTGCTGTGGATTGCAATTGAATTCCTTTAGATTGTGTTTTATTGAGAGATTCTCTGAGAGCAGTGAATTTGGGCCAAGGTTTTCCCCTTCTCTCTTTCATTCTTCTTTTGATTCGGGTATAATTTGCAAAGAATCAATTATAATTTTCGTTCTGCTAAGCTTTCTGATTTCAATACAGTATACAACATGAATGTTTGTTTTGATTTCATTATAATTTGTATATGTTGATTACAATTTCAATCTGTGTAGTGCTTTTCATTACAAGTTAGATTTGATTTTGATTTTCTCTGTGATTAAACATTTTCAAAGTTCCCTGTATGTTTCATAATTTTTGTGATGTTAATTGATTGTGATTTGAATTGTAAGGTTAGCCTTTGGAGAAGCAACAAGACCAGATCCAGAATATTTATGAATTTGATATTGACAACTCTGATGGTTGTGCTATGCTTTAGGTTATTCAAATTTTTGCTCTAAAGCACTTTGAACTACTACTATTAACAATCTAGTCCCTAAAAGTTATTAATAAATCTGCTATAGATAAGCTTGGATATGGCCAAACTACCTATGTATCATTATATCTTCCTCTTCTCATCACATCATTCTTATTCATGTAATTGTTCTTGATGATCGGATGTGTAGCTAGAGAAGGAAATATAGAGAGTATGCTTTCAGTTGAATATTCTCTTATGTGCTTTAATTGGTGTTATGTTCATCAATGTAGTTGAGTACATTGTGCCCTTTTCTTGACTTTTGTGTTATATTTGAAAACGAATTGAAAATCGTTAAATTCTATGTACCCTTTTATTGACTTCAAATGTAATTGGAATGCTTGTGTATGTTACGAAATGATATCCCAGTTAATGGACCTAGTTTGGCTGTGGTAACCCCCAGAACTGTAATAATCCATGAAGTATGAATTAACTGAGAAAATAATGTTATATTCTTCCTAGATTTCAAGAATCCCATGCATTAAAAAAATAACTAAAAAAGAGGATAATAGATGAGCAGAATTTGTTTAATGTGAACTCATAAAATGTTAAATTACTGGTGCATACAAATGAGATCAAGTGATAAATAGATACAAAATAGGTCAAGCCTTTTGAGGGAAATTAGTGAAATTACTGATAAGATTACAGATGATATTGCTGACTATGGAAATTGTACTTTTTTGTTGTTATGGTTGTTGCAACTGAATTCTCCCCAACTTCCTCTGGAAGTATGTAGTCAGGGTCTTCAAGATTGTCTAGATCTTCTGGTAACTCAGTGTCAACCCAAGAAAACCAGTTCATTTCACTATCCATGTCCACATTCCACAACTCATCTTTATTTCTTTGCTTGCCATAAAACTGCTCAGTGAGATTCTCATTTAGTTTTAGTAGCATCTAGTAGTTTAACAGTTCATAATCCCTGCATAATATTCAAGCCATAATTATGGAAATTAAGATCTGTGAATGCATTCTTTATAACCCAAAGTACATATGATTCTACATACCTGTATGTGAATCGTGATACCTATATAAAGCCTGGGTCTCACAGCATAGGTTTGCTTTGTACTAGTGAACATGTAGAGGATGAAGATTGAGACAGAGTAAATGAAGAGAGCTTTAATAAATCGGGATTCAAGCAGCATGGCATTGTGCAAGGCGAAGAGCTTATCTAAGGCCACAAACATGGTTGCTTGCTTTGATTCAAAAGCTTCTTGTAAGTAGACATGGAGGTTTCAATCTCTCTTTGATTATCAATCTACCAAGAGGTTTGAGGAGTACTGTGGGAGTACTGTTGGTATGTTTGTAATTCAAACTTTCTACCTGTTTTCCTTTTTGCCTATTTATTTGCCTTTGTTACAGTGCTTTTCAATCACATGATTATGCATATGGGTAGATGTTATATAATTCCGAATGCCATGACTGTAGGGTCCAATTTAAACTTAGGAGACACGAGATCTATAGCTGAAGCTCTTGCCAAGTCAAAACTGGGTTAGCATCACTTTTCCTTGTGCAATTCAGTTTGATATAGTGCTTTGTCTTCCCCCCAACTCTTTTCTTTTTTTATTCTTTCCGTTTGAACACTAAATCGTTGAGTTTCTATGCAGTTGAACACTGATCTGCCATAGAGAGAGGTCACCGACATAGTTTTATTTTTATTATTTCAAGCTAAACTAACACATTGAAGTGCATTAAATTTTCAAGGCAAGTTTGATATTTGTTTTTGTAGATTTTGTTGAGGGAATAGTTGATATCGAGCGGTTGATGTTGGGAGCCAAAGATTATGTTGCTCTTTTTTTTCTTTTTTCTTTTTTCTTTTTTCCTTTCCACTTTTTTTTTTTTTTGAAGACTTGAATTTTTTAGTACAGTTTATTTAAGGATGGTTAATGGATAATGTCTATTATAAATTTAATTAATTTGTTAATTTTGTTATTTTTCATTTACAAAAAATTGTTTGGTTCTTGTTATTGATTTTTTGTTGTAGCAAACCCATATATCATTTTTTTTTATTAAATAATTATTTGCGACAGTGAAACAATGGTCGCTAAAAGTGGTTTTTATTTTTTTAATTTTTTTTCGACGGCAAGATAGCTGTCGCAAAAAGTAGTTTAAGCGGTCGCAAATAATTTGCGGCAGTTGCTTTGCCGTCGCAAAAAGTATTTGCCACCCCCACATTTGCGTCCCCCATATGCGGTCGCATAGGCCGTCGCAAAAAGTCTTTTGCGACTGTAATTTTATTATTTGCGACGGCATGTGGCGGTCGCAAAAATAATTTTCTTAGTATATAAAAGCATAGATATAGTTATAGATACCAATTGTCCATTAACACATATTGTAATGTCACAAAAATAAAAGTAAAAAAATAACAAAGAGTAGTGATATACAAACTAAACAATACGTAGTGTAATTAATAATGATTTGGTTGGGTCTTGATATATCACTTTATAACAAAGAGTCCATTGACATGTTTCTAATTATACAAATGACACTATCATATCATTTTTTAGTGTAAAATTCTATATAAATATTCTAGTGAAATAATATTTTTGAACAAAAAATGGTCATAAGCAAAATCAGAAAATGGTCAATAGAGAGTAAAGGGAATAATGATACACAAAATATAAAATGCAAAAACAAAAAAGGTTTTAATTTACCCAAACTAGAGTTTAGATCAATTGTAAAATGCCGTTTGTATTATAGAAATTTAAAAATTCAGAGAATATGAGAAAATTAGAGTGCGACTTCCAGCCTCAAATAGGATGGAAGTTTTTGCTTATATTATATAATTTCCTTCATTTTTTAAATTATTTTTTCTTCAAATTTGTTTATCCAAACACAATTGAACAGTAGCAAAAGTGAACAATATGTGATAGAAAATAATGGCGAATCCAGATCCTCTAATGTGATATTTTGCATTCTTGAGATTTTAATTCTACAAAAATTATGCATAAAAATATCAGTCATACAAAAAAATTATTCTAAAAAAATCATTGAATTGGATCTGGACTCAATAATAACACTTTTCTTTTTCTTTTCTTTTCTTTTCGATTGGAAATCCCAGCAAATGGAAAAAGAAGAGATTAAAAAATAGAAAATTGAGCAATGACAAGAGGATCAATAGTGGCCGAGACCTCTTCAATCCAGACCAAAACATGGGCCCTTTTAAACGCATGCAAAAGATTTAAAGAAAAGAGAAGAGATTTATGAATGAAAAGATAAAAAGAAAAAGAAAAAGAAAATACATTGGAAGGACTAAGATCAGAATTAATAAAAGGTAACCAAAGAGTTTGGTCCAACTATATTTGTTGCAAAAAACTTTCTCCAAAAAATTCTTCCTGCACCCCAAATTGCTCCATCTTTATTGTTCACATTTGCTTCCAGCCACAACCAAAATACCTGATTCGACATTGTAACTCGAATTTCTTTTTTTTAAATTTTTTTATTTTAATTTTTATGTAAGTATGTTGTTATAGTAATCAACAATGATTAGTGACCCGAAAAATCATAACTCGAATGGCTCAAAACATTCAAAACGACGTCATTTTGAATATAAAACAACATCATTTTGACACATTTGAACCACAAAAATTCGGGTCACCAAACATTTTTCTATAGTAATATGATCAACTTTATTTTTTTTATGTTTGATCTTATCAAAAGAGTGTTAAAAAATGAATGATTTTGATTATTAAAATAAACCCACGGACTAACCAACTGGAGATAATCTTCTTCCACTCTATCATAAGCATTATTGGCTCTGAACACCCAATTATGCCTCATTTGAGAATTAGGCTTTTGGGTAAAAAAGTTAAAAAAACTAAAACAAAATGTCAAATAATCAAAAAAAAAAAAAAAAAAATTCACAAAAGTCCATAAAGTTAAAAAATTAGTAAAAAAATAAAGTCAAACACACCAATTATTCTTGCTTTTCTATACAATTAAAAAAACTCTCTTTGGTTTAGTTTTTGAATCATAATTTAAGTTTTGAGTTGTATTTTAAATTTTGAATTTTTGAAATGAGTTTTAAAAAAAAAAATTTTATTTAGTTATGAGTTTTGAAAAGTATTTTGAGTTATATTTTGAAATTTTTGGGGTTTATTTTTTTAGGGTAAATATTTTTCATTGCAAATATTTATTAATCTTTTTAATTTGCGTTGTATTACTACATTTGTGTGCTGTATTTCCTTTCAATATTTTAAAAACTTTTTAAAAATATTTTAAAATTTTAAAAAATTTATTTTTTTATTTTAAATATTTTTAATTTTAAATATATATTTTAAAATTTTTAATATTTTTAATATTGTTTTAAAATTTTAATTTATTTTTTAATTTTTTTTAATTTTAAATTGGATCACTCATATATATCTAAATCATAACAAATTATTTGACCAATACTTAAAAAAATAACAAAATATTTCTCTTTGAAAAAATTTTTAAAAAAAATTGAAAAAGATATAAAATAAAAAATAATTTTAAAGGACAAAATAAAAAAATAATTTTTTGATTTTTTTTTTAAATAGAGTTTTGAAAAGAATTTTTAAATTGAGTTATAAGCGTGTTTGATATATGAGTTTGAAAATAGTTTTTGAATTGAATTTTAAGTTGTATGTTTGATTATGAGTCTTGAAAGGAATTTTGATTAATTAATTTTTTTGTAATCTAAATCGTGATTCTAGAACAAAACCAAACGCTGGCTACTTTTCAAGTCCAGATCCTCTGCCGCCTTTCTCTGTGGCGGTCCTTGCGGCACCCCTAAAACGACAAATTTCAAAAAAAAAAAACAAAACGAAAGCACAAAATCAAAGAGAAATAGAGGAAGAAGAAAGCAGAGGAAGAGAGAGAAGGAGAAGAACGCAGAAAGCACAGAGGAAGAGAGTTCTTTCTCTCTCGCCGGCGAACTCCCCGATGACTCCTTCGCCATCAAACCGTCAAACTCTTCTCTTCTCTTTCCGTCGCTGCCGATTGCGAATCTCGCTCATCTCTCTCTCTCTCTCTGTTCTCCAGATCTGAGTCTCTCTCTTTATCTACTCTTTTTTTTATTATTATTTTTAGTTATTGTTGTTGATGATGATGATGAAATTATATCAGTGTTCTTGAGTTTATATCAGTTTTAGTGAATCTCATATATGTTGATTGGGTTTGTAAATCTCATTTATATCAATTCTTGGGTTTATTTTTTTTATTCTTTGTGTTTTTGCTTCTCTCTCTCTCTCTCTCTCTCTCTCTCTCCATTTTGTTTTTCTTTTTTTTTTTTTGGGTCTACATTTTTTTTCATATAGTTATTGTTGTTGATGATGATTATGAAATCAGAATCTGAAATGCAGAACTTGTGTGTGTTCTTGGGAAATTATTCTTTGGATGACCATGGCCATCCTCTTCCCCTCTTTCTCTATGATTCTCATAGATGGTTTATTTTTTGTATTCTTTATGTTTTTGCTTCTTTCTCTTTCTCTCCGTTTTTTTTTTCTTTTTTTCTGGGACTGCAATTTTTTTTTTTTTTAGTTGTTTTTGTTGATGATGATTATGAAATTATTGTTTGTGTTCTTGGGAAAAATGGCCATTTCGAATGATGACCATGGCCATTTTAGATTGTTCAAATTATTCTGTGTGTTCTTGGGAAATTTTTCTTTGGATGACCATGGCCATTTTGGATGACGACAGAGCTTGTGTTCTTGGTAAGTCATGACACAGATGGCCATCTTCTTCCTCTCTCTCTTTGATTCTGTGCTTTCGTTTTCTTTTTTTTTTTTGAAATTTTCTCCCAAAACGACGTCGTTTTCGGAGTGCCACAGGGACTGCCGCAGAGAAACGCGGCAGAGGATCCGAACTCCTAATTTTCAAACACATTAACTTTTTTCATCTCATAAAAAATTTAAAAAACTAAAAAAGTACTAAAAAATCAAACCCCAAAGCCTTAGTCATTGGTTGAATTTTTGTAAAAGCCACAAAAATTGCTATTAACTCATTTCCTGCCTGTAATCTAATGTAAACTTGAGTCTCAGATTGTATTTTACTTTTCGAACACAGATAATTAATTAAATACTTTTTTTAAATTGATAGAAAAGAATAAGAGAGGAGAAATTCTACTGTGTAATAGCTAGACCAAAACATCATATAAGAATAAAAGTGTCGTTTGGAAAGTGAGTTGACTTTTTGACTTTTTGATTTTTTTTGGTTATTTTATCGTGGGCCAAAAAGCTTGGCTTGGGAAGAATTTTTTGGCTTTTTTGACTTTTTTGTGAGAAAATAGTGTAATATTTATGAGTTAAATGTGATATTTTGTTTGTTATGGCTAAAATAATCTAATTTGTCTTTTATGGCTAAAATAGCCAAAAAAACCCATGAACCTTCTTCCCAAGCAGAAGCTCAATGGGTCAGTCTTTTAACCTGTGCATAAGCAATAAAAACAAAAATATACCAAAATTATTTCAAATCAAAATGATTAAATACATCATTAAAATCAATAATGTTAAGACAATAGATTTCATTTGTTGGGTCAGTACGTATGCACAAACATTTTGGTTCTCTTTGTACAAAGTCAAATCTAAACCCAAAAGGGAAAGCAAAAACACATGCAATGCTACAAATTAAAAATAAAAATAATAAAAAGGGTTTACGTGCACAAAAAATATCAAACATTAGATCACATCTCTGTGTCATTCTGGTGAATATATATATATATATATATATTTCTCTACACGCAGCACAATTATGAGGACTTAGGGGTACTGAAGGCACTCCAGCTTGATGTGCCCTTCTGTGGGAGGATGTCCTGAATGTTTTTTGATAATCTGAACTATTCATATCATAAGGTTTGCCAAAAATATTATTTATATAAAAAATCAAGTTAATCGGATATTCATAACCCTATAATTAAGTCTTAATTGTTTTCAAAAATTTATTAAAGTTAAGTTAATCGTTAAGTTTTATAAAAACAAATGTACATTGATTATAGGGCTGCAGATATCTAATTAACTTGATTTTTTTATATATATAATCTACTTGACGAATCCTACAATATGAACCGTTCGAATTATCGAAAGAGATTTGAGACAACACTTCAAAAAAAACACAACAGCCTGCTATGTCCAAAGACACAGCAGAATCTACATATCCCAATTATAAACACTCATCAAGTGAAGTAAACTGGGCATCTCTTGTCTTTGTAATTTGCCAAGATTGAGCCATCTGGGCCCACCCCAGCTTCACAGTTGGCATGCATCTTGTGGTGCTTACTATCCCACTTGGACACCTTAAATCGGATGGTCGACGTTACTTGGAGTCGAAAAACCACCACCCCTTGATCACGATCATTCTGAAACTGCATCCAACGGTTGCTATTCACCGTCAAGGTGGCCCCACTCAGTACACCGTAAAGCACCGTAGTATTTTTCGGCTTCTGATAAAATGGAAATAACAAAAAAGTCTTCCCAATGGCCTGATCTTGGTAATACAGAGTCACCTGCATCGCATCGTAGTGAATCCCTATCACCTGGTTTGAATTACGGGCCGTTACGTTGAATATAACTTCCGCATTTTCGAACCCGTTTGATTGGTTCAGACCCGGGACCGAAAATTCCCGGATATGGAATCTGGTTCGGTGCGGGCGTAAACTGAGCCATAAAATGAAGAAAATAATGCCCAAAATGAAGAGTACGGTAAGAAATATTGCACATACTATTTTTGAGATCCGGGTTGTGAGGCTTTCTCGGACCCGGTGGACATAGTACCGGGTCGTCTTGTGCCGCCTGTATTGGCGGTCATCGTGGGTCATGTGGGGCTGCCCGTATTGGCGGTTATCCTTGGTCATGTGGGGCTGCCCGTATTGGCGGTCATCATGGGTCTTGTGGGGCTGTCCGTATTGGCCGTCATCCTTGGTCATGTGGGGCTGCCCGTATTGGCGGTCATTGCGGGTGCCTTGGATCTGAATTTGGTTTTGGGATGGGTGCATTTTCTCCGGTGACAAATAGGAGAATGTTAGGATTCAATGTTGATGACACAAGGAATCCATATGGTGATGGGTGTTTTTATATGAAGTGTAGAGAAAGAAAGGTGACATTGGAATAATTTCGATGGGAAAAGAAAAGAATAAGGGTCTTTATGTTTTTTCAAATATGTGCAAAATGGTCATGTTAGGAGAGGTATAGTATAGAAGTTCCCTAGCGTGCATGAAAAGCATATATACCAAGTCTAACTAAGATGTATATGGTTATTGTGTAAAAACATAATAAATCAAACCAAACTAAATTAAACTAAGTTTTGAATTTCATTAAATAGGGTCGGTTATATGAATTCTCTTTTTCACGCGACCCTATCAAAGGCCGTAAGAATATAATAGTGTTATATAAATTAATAAATTTTATATTTTTTTACTCATTATTGTGACATTTATCATATTACTAAAATGGGGATTTGTTTCAAATTAATATATATATATATATCAACAATGCTCCCTACACCCAGTGGGGGTGGCGCCCCCAGTGACGTGGCGCGCCCCCACTGGTCGAAAATCAAAAAAAAAAAAAAAAAAATCTTTTTTCAAGATATGTTTTTCGGGCCACTCTTTGTCACCCCCAGCTGGGGGTAGGAAGCTTTTTCCATATATATATATATATTTCATGACACATCAGTTAGTATATATATATATATTTTTATTTGTCGAAATTATTATTTTACATAACATTTTGCATGTTGTAAGCTGCTAACTTTGATGTGTGTTCCCTAGACTTTTGCATTTTTGTTTTTAAGCCAGGATCGGTATCAATACTATCTTTTCGGTCGTATTTTATATTTATATCTTAGGCATATGATATGATACAAATCTAGTTAAGCCCTAGGAAAATACATTGGATGAGTAAGACAATTTGAGGTCTAAAGTGATAAATTTAAAGACACTAACCATAAATTTATTTTTTAATCTTTTTTGTCATTATACCTAAGTTCTAATCTTTTTTTGGCTAAAAGCACACAATTTGTCCAAAATAACTACTATTTGTTGAAATTAACTTATCTGTCTGCCTCTTGAAATCATCTTATCTATTGAAGTCATCAAATTTGTCTATCTGTTGAAATTCACCAAGCCTATTTTACTATCTGTTGGAATTTACCAAACTACCGATTTGTTGAAATGTGATACATATTACTCATTCAACATCTAATTTGTTGAATATCACATATTTCTCTACCTCACTACCACTATTTGTTGCCGCCATCCGCCGTCACCGCTGTCGCCGACTTTTTTGGCCAATTTTTCTAGCCACTTTTCTTACGCCGGTTGAAGGGACTAAATATAAAATGGGTCGGATCCAAGCCTTGGGCTGGCCCAATCTATTAGACTAAAGTCCTGAGAAGTAGGGTAAACAAGTGGGCCAGTCCGATTAGCCCAATTATATCACCAACAATCTACCCAAGTCCTCAAGCACTTGGGCCCAACTTGTAGTGGAAAGGTTAGTCCAGCCACAATGTTGGGCTGGGCCGAGCTGCAGGATTTGATCATTGGACTGAACCCAAAAGGGGCCGAGCCCATGCAAAGATATCCTACTGGGCCAGTCCATTTCTACAAGTAATCTCATAAAGGGCCGAGTCGAGGCACGACGGTACCGAGCCAAAAGAACCCAACAGAAAAACATGGAAGCTATGAATGCATACACATGAAGGGTGCCACCTCAGCTGGTCCCTTTCCCATAGAATCACGAAAACAGTTGATCGAAGGAATGTGATATGTTACAAGCATGTTTATAATGAGTATATACACCACTTGTCAACTACCAGATGGTCCCTCACCTTTGGCAATGCTAAAGGAAACTTTGCAGCGCCAGAGCTCTATGAAACCATCTTGGGCAACAAGCAATGAGTTCTATATAAACTGCACTGACTTCACACTGAAGGTAACTAATCTAAGCTGAACCATACTCACCTAAACACAACTCTCTATACACAGAGAGTACATCTCACCTTCTCCGATCACTCACTCCCACACCGGAGGGGTTATCCGGCCAACCCCGGCTAGGCAGCTCTAACGGTGCTTATTGCTGCAGGGTCTCGATTCCTGGATAGTCCAATCAAGTGTGGAGCTCTGATCCACAATCATCTAGTGCGGTATTCGGTATGCACAATTGGTACAGTGAGCACAGACGGTTTTGTCTCTGAGTTCTATGCTTGATTCTGACGATGGTGAATAGGACATCCCACCTTCGGCACTGACTCCACAAACAGAGAAGACAAAGGATAAAGGCTTGGCACTTCCGACAGTCTTGGAAGAACAAACTGGAAACAACAATCGGACTCCTGAATCTATTGAGCATCGATTGCCCTTCGCTGGAGGTTATTCTCATCATTTTCTACTAGAGAAGGATTACAGGGATTGAATCATTTACTCCATGGGAATGGAGATACAGGAACTGAAAGCACAACTCAAAAGGGTGATAGGTGACCCGATGGAAAAGAGAACTGACGTAGAGCCCTCTCGCCTGCGACAGAGAAGGCCATCTTGAGAACCACCAATGAAGAAGGTTCCCAGAAATGAGTCTGGGTAACAAAACCAGCCAATCCCGGTACAAAGTGAGGCAGCGGGCAGCCACACCCATGGCTCACATTGGAGAAGCGCTAAGAGGCAGAAAACAGCTAGCCAACAGACAGAGTAACCTCCTCAGGATCTTCGTACTTGACTGATTGGCAACAAACAAAATGAGCAACAGTGAGATCACCTTGATCGTACTATCCATCAGAGAGAGCACCGAGCATTGGATTGGCTCGTCTCCTCCCCCATTCTCCTCGGAAATCAAGGCCATGAGACCTCCCAAGAAATTCACTCTACCAAAGTTCACGTCATACGATGGGAAGTCAAACCCACTGATGCACATCAACCATTATCGACAGATGATGTCCTTATGGAGCCGAGACGAGGCACTTATGTGCAAAGTCTTTCCGTCTAGCTTGGGAGAATCCGGACTTCGATGGTTTGATCGTCTTCCCGCCGAATCGATTTACGACTGGAAGCAGCTCTCTAAAGAGCTCTTGGCTAGGTTCGTCTCCAACACTAAGATCCCAAAAGAGCTAGATACACTGTTCGGTCTCCAAAAGGAACATGAAGAAATGTTCTGTAATTATGCTAGGAGGTATTGGGAGGAGTATAATGACCTAGAGAAAAATGTTTGCAGTGAACAGATGGTCGTGATGTGTTCTAAACACGGTCTGCGCCCAGAAAGTAAGCTGAGACAGTTACTTACCAAGCGCCTGGCCACAGCACTGAAGGATTTGCGTGCCAATATTGAGCAATACGCTCGCCTCGAAGATGATCAAATCCCCATCAAGGTAGAATCAACTGAACAAACAGTTTGGCACAAAAAAAGAGTGGACCAAGGGGAACACCAAGGACTCACAGTGAATGAAGTAGACAAGTCCAAATCCCATGAAACAGTTGTAACCGTATTCAAGGAACCAATCTATCGTATTATGGAAAAGATCAAGAGAGAGCCATTCTTTATTTGGCCGCCAAAAATGTTGGGAGATCCAGCTCGGCGTAATCAGAAGCTCAGATGCACCTATCACCAAGACAAGGGGCATATGACTCAGAATTGCAGAACATTGAAGCAACACCTGTAAGACTTGGTAGCTGTTAGACACTTCTGAGACTACATTGATCAGGATAAAGTGGTGACCGAACAAGGGAACCCTCTACTAGAACCAAACAATGAGCATCCTCATCGGTTGGTAATAAATATAATCCATAGAACAACTAGCCACGAGTGTGAAGAGGCACTTCAAGAAAAAATTTCCAAAGCTGTGCAGATTTAACAGGTCATGTCAGTAGGATTCGCGCCGAAAAAGGTACGCACAATACCTAAGCTCCCATTGTGCACTATTTTATTTACTAGAAAGGATTTAGAAGGTATTCAGCATCCACATACTGATGCACTGATTATAACTGTGGGAATTGGGAAACGATTTGACGTAAAACGAGTCCTGGTAGATTAGGGTAGTGCAGCAGATATATTGTATTACGACCTGTTCAGGAAGCTCAGTCTCTCTGAGCGGCATCTCACCCCGGCGACAGCTCCATTGGTCGGTTTCAATTCACAGCCTGAATGGCCACTTGGAAAGATAGTGTTGCCAGTTGTGGCTAGGACAAAGATCCTGCAGATAGAATTTCTTGTTATTAATACACCTTCTCCTTACAATGCCATACTCGGTCGTCCTTGGATTCACCAAATGGAAGTAGTCCCCTCAGCCTACCAGCAGCCCATCCACTTCCCAACGAAACATAGAGTAGAGCAGATCTCAGGGGACCAAGTTGCGTCAAAACATTGCTTTATGGCAGCTATGAAGGCTAAACAACTCTTCAATCGGGTATAGACAGTTGAAGTAGTCGAACAGCCAGTCTTGGAGGATATCGGAGGAACCCCAGCGGAACAGATAGTAAAGGATTTGGAGAAAGTCCTAGTAAGGGAGGATGATCCAAAAAAGTACTTCCTTATTAGTACCTCGCTAGGCGCTGATGAGAAACTTCAGCTGCTGGATATGCTGAGAGAAAATATGGAGGTATTCGCATGGTCAGCATATGATACTCTAGGGTTGAATCCAGATTTCGCTTGCTATAAACTCAACATCAACCCTTCCGCTTGGCTCATTGTGCAGAAAAGCCGAAGATCCTCAGTTGAGCACACTGAAACAGTAATTGTCGAGGTCGACAAACTCCTAGCATTGGGGGCGATTCGAGAAGTTCAATACCCACAATGGCTATCCAACACAGTTCTAGTAAAACAGAAGAACGGAAAATAAAGAGTCTGTGTTGACTTCACTTGCCCAAATAGAGCTTGTCCCAAGGACAGCTTTCCTCTGCCTCGCATTGATCAACTAGTAGACTCAACAATAAGACATGAGCGTATGAGCTTTCTGGACGCTTATAGTGGCTATCACTAGATACCACTATTCAGCCCAGATCAAGAGAAGATAGTATTCATTACTCCAAGAGGCACCTATTGCTATAAAGTAATGTCATTCGACCTCCAGAATG